TGCCGTGGTTGATTCCAACTCTTTGTTGTTTCTTTCCAAGTATGCACCTGAAATGGCAAAGGAATTGCACATTAGTTCAGGAATCTCTTTCCAAACTGCAAATATCTCCCAGAGGGAGAGCTGGTTGGTACGTGGTTTTAAGTTCCAGGCTAAAAGTTTGTTCACTTTCTTTTCTGGAAGAACATATTTCTGCTTGAATCAAACTATTTATCCTTCTAAAAGCTTGTTACTTGTGTACTTGCATGGAGCTAATCCTCTTCTTTCTGCTCCTACTAAGTAAGGAAGTAAACTTCTACCCAAAAGTTTTTTTTATTTACCAACAAGCTGTAGAGTTGCCCTGTAATGCATATATATGAGGCGTTCCCCTTCAAGGATTCCAACCTCTGCCAAAGCTCTGAATTGTTTCCATTATGAGAGATTCCATGGTAACCTACATGTCAATAACAATACTACAACTCTCTCTCTCTCTCTTTCGTACACAAACACGCACATGCGGTGGACACGTGCATTTCCCTCCTTAATATATCATATTTGAGGTTTATGTTGTAATAGGTGGTCCTTGTACTGCATAAGGGGTTCTTGCTTTCTTCAGTGATTTTCAGGCTGTTATCCTTAAAGAACATATAAAACAATATTGTTTTTGTTCAATCCGAGGCTAGTAAGTATGTTTATATGCATGCCAAAAACTAAATTAGATGAAGTTGTCATTAGTTGCAACCAATTGTGAAAATATTTGTCTGAAAATCAGAAAGTTGTGGTTAAACAATTTCTAACACTGTTTCTGTGACAGGCACTTTATCCAGCATCTTTTTTGATCAGAGGTTTGAAGTTTCCTGCTAGAAGTGATGAGATTTCAAAGCGATATTCCTCTTTTCCCTTCTTATTTAATTACAGGCCTCAAGAAATGTCAAGTAATGGAAAGTCGAAGAGTTTATTTGGAACTTTCCCTAGGGTGAGTTAAGCTAGAGGCATATTTGACCAATTGGGTGATATTTATTTGCATAAATTTGGTTCGTTGAGTATTATGATGTATCTAGCACTGATCAAACATGGGATATGGAAGCTTAGTCACTGAATGTATTATTTTTTCAGCATTTTGCATAAGTGTGATCTTCGATATTTCTTTAGCTAAGTATTAGGTGATGGAAAATCCATGTCCTGGCCTTCTTTAGTTATTATCCAGTTGTTGTTCAAAATTGATCTGTCCAGTGAAGGCTTGGAAAATTGTTCAAACTATGTGAATTCTAGCCACTTCTTTAATTATTCTCCAATTATTGCTCAAACTTGAGCTTTCCCTTGAAGGCACTTAATTTGCTCAGCTGGCATACTTTTAGGTTTTTGTTCTTGTTATAATTTCATACACCTTGAGCATGTTAGAATATAAATGATAAAGTTGAAACATTTTCTATCAGATTAAGTTTTAAAATAATTGGTCACTTAATCAATGGGTTAACAGTTATGGTGATAGAATATAAGCATGTGCTATTTGCAGATTTAACCTATTAATCTACAATATTAAACTCATATGATTTTTTACCAGTGGAATAAACGATTGCCATAAGACATGATTGCTTTGAGTTCTGTGTGGGCCCAAACAATATCGAAAAAAAAGGATTGTATCTTGACTATTTATTACGAATTTTGATTTTGGTAACTCTAATATTTCATGTGTGCAATTTCAATGTAATTGGTAAGAAAGATTGGTTCTCTTTTGGTTTGCTGTATTTATTTCACATGTTTTTGGTTGGAAAAGAATGACCTCTAGAGATTTTTATGAGGCTTTATAGTCTAATGGCCATGGGTTACTTAAATTTTAAGTTGTCTTTCCTTCAGCTCCTTGGAGGAGATTTGGGTTACAGTTCTTAACATTACCGGCCCTTTATCTGGTTGGTCATTTGCAGATAATAGAATTCCAGGTACCTAAGAAGTTACTGCTTCTGTTTGAATTTGGCAAGAATATCCATTATTTCATGTGCTTTAACAAGCCTGGAAATTTTTGCAGCTCCAGAAGCAGCTGATGGTGGCCCACCATCGTATATTTGTAGACTTAGCGGAGGCAGCAACAAGAACTGGACCTTTTGGTTAGAGGTAAAGTCTTTTCATGTTTTTTTTTTTTCAGAAGAAAAAGAGAATCCATTAGTGCAGCGCCAGGAGAATATAATTACGTATAAGGAATTTGCACAGAATTAACGGACAAAGATATCTGTAAAATCTCCTAAATCATTTTCATCTAACAAGGATGAATAAACAAAATACACAGAAGTTTGGAACCATAAATCTCTTAATTATGTCAGGAGAAAAATGCTGTTAAAAGTTAAGTTGATGTGATGCAACCTTATTTGTTCTGGAATAGACTTTGAAGCACATTTCTCCTATGATTCTGTTATCTGCTACACTCTTCTAACCTTTGACTTCTTCATTTATTCCTTTCACCTCTCCGTTTCACTTGACAATTGCTCAAGTTTTCTTTCCCTCTCATTCTTCTTTTCTACCTTATGCTATGCTAACTAGCACACTAGTATGTAATAGTTAGTAATTCTGTAGGCCTATTTCCTCTTCACCACCAAACTTTGCAGATAGTAGCTCCTATGGAAGTTTAGCTAATAGATGAAAGAACTTGCTGACATGGACCTTTAATTCCAAACTGCTTATCTGTCTTCATGTCTAAACAATGTTTTATATTCGGTGCTTAAAGTGCTTCTGTCATGGATTTGCAATCTTTAATAAAGAAAGGCCTAGGTCTGTTAAAGTTGATTTTTCTGTCCAAATGCCTAGGCTTGTTAAGTATAGGCTCATTCTCTGAAAGTGTACTCTCTATATTCCACATCCTGGCACTAGAATTATTTTGGATTTAGAAATTTTGGCCCCAACATTCTTCGATACACCTGGTTGCCTCTAGAGACTATCAACATTTTGATAGGTTCTCTTTGCCGAATGCATCAACTCTCTGTGCTTCTATCACTAATATCATTTCGATCTTCAAACTGCACACGAAGCAGGGCCCTAGAACTGGCAACACCATCCCTGCAACAGCACTGGCCTTCCTCTTGATTCTATTGGATAGTTTAAGTGGCCCCATTTATGATAGAGAGAGTACTAATAGTGAATGAGCTAAGATATTGAAAGAGATAACCAATAAATCTTCCTTTAAAATTGATCCCTGGTTCGCCTACAAGTTTGTTTTTTGTCATCCAAACAATTACTTGATTGATTTAAGGTGAATTGCAGGCTAGCAGCACTGAAGATTTGAGGGTGGATGTGGCTGTATTGGACCAGGTTCTGGTCGATGGAACAAACAAGTTGAAAAGCCTTTTCCCTGACTGGGCGGATGTTATCGCTTTTTCTAGTTTTGTTTCGAGCTATATCTTCTAGCATAAATATATGTTGGACGTACTCAATCTTGAATAATCATATCATTACATGAAAATAAAATGGGTTGATTATATAGTTCAATCTTCATATTTTAGGTAAACTTTGTTATTGTTTTGGATTGGTTAAATGCATTTTGAAAGGCACAACCCTTGCACAATTGTGCCATTAAGAACCTAATATTCTGATTACATAGTTCAATCTCAATTAAAGATTTTGTTTGATCACTCAATTAATGCTCTGCTAATTTATCTACTATATAACATGTTACGTCATTAAAAATAAATATGCACATATCAATTAAATTAATTTTTAACTTTAAAATTTTATTAGCAATAAAATATAAAATAATTTATTTTTATATTTATAATAGGAAATAATTTAATTCAACATATATATATACACACACACACACTGTTTGAATAAGATTGATATTTTATATTCTTTCATTTATCATGAATAAATAAATTATTTTAGTTAAAGTTATTTGCTATCAGTGAATATAAAATAAAAGTATTTTACATTTTCAAGCATTTTTATAATTGATTATATGATATAGTGCATATTTATTTGACGTAACATACATACATTTAGATTAAATAAAATAAAACTATTCAGATCTAACAGGTAGTTGGATCCTCTACATGCATTTAGCCATTCTGTCCTCGTTGAGAAAAGGTGCAACTTGGTTCTTTTTCGTCCCAATTGACTAAGAGTGTAAATTTGGAGTCAATTAATTGAAACCACATTTAACTGATCTTCATTATATTAGTTGTTTTGGTTTTATTATTATTCAGTCGTTGGCTTCGCTTGCGAAATATGTTTAACCAAAAAACTTAAAATTTAGAGGCATATATCATGACGAGTTTTCGAACTTTTCGGGCCATATGTATAAAATATCTAACTCCTTATAATTCTGCATTAACGACTTGGTGTTAAAATCTGTACTTTGTTTTCAAATGTATGTTCTGAAAAAAGTTGATTTTTGATTATTCCACTTAACCAGTTCTGTTCAGTTGCTAACTAATCGAATTCAATTTAGTTTCCACTCTATTTTAAGAAATTCAGGGTTCAATTTAGTCAAACTTATATAATAACCTCACAATCCATGTGGGATCACGCTAAGAGCAGATTGAAATACATGTTTGAACAACTTCGACCTAGCTTAACTCGGTAGGGACCAAGGCTTGGTTTGGTCCAATTCAGCTCGAAGCCCAATCCTGGCCCAAAATCCAGGAATAAGCAAATGGGTAAGTCTGGCCTAATCAATACTCATTTGGGCTGGGTCTTGATTGTCTTCCAACCATCGACCTACTCAACCTGTCAACGGGCACCTTTTTATTTTTGGCTATGTTTTTCCAATCCATTTGTATCTAATTTCTCACGTTTTTCCTTTCTGATAATTATATTCTAGCACTTGACTGGTCTTTTTGCATAAAAATTATTCTTCTTTTTTTTTATCCCAACAGACGACAACTAACTTTATCATTCTGTTCGGATAAGTTTCAGTAATAATTAATTAATATATAGTAATGACAATAATTGAATAGTAATAATACAGAATTAAAATGACAAAATTTTTTTATATTTAGATGATGGTATATTAATGTATGTTAATAACATATTTTAATTAAGATAATAAAATGATATGATTATATTTTCAGTCAAATTAATAATTTATCTCTACTTATTATATATAATAGTATATATTATAAAAGAAGTATATAATGAAAAAATAAATAAATTGTTTACCAATATAATTATATTTATATTTAAATAAATAATTATTATACATAACCAAATTAAAATTTTATATTTAATAAAATAAATAATAATTATTTATATTATCATATTAATTCAATTTTAATAAAAATAAAATTATTTAATCATCAATAAAATTTTATGTGTCCAATAATATATTTTTTTAATTAGTTTCAAACTTTTAAATTTATTTTTTAACAAAAATATATAGTACATATATACATATGTAGATATTTCGTATTCATATTAAATAATAAAAAAATATTTATATTTTTTTACTAAATTACTTGAGAATTAAATAAATATCACAATAAACAAAAACTGTTTCAAAAATGTAAAATATTGTCAACAAAGAAGTAAAGAAAGATAGAAGAAATTAATTCATTTAACATAGATTAATCAATCCAAAACATAAATTAGTCAACTTAACATAAATTAATCAATTCAAAACATAAATTAGTCCATCAAAATAATAAAATTCATCTATTAAACATCCAACATCAGTTTGACAATGGTTCCTAAAACCATAATATAGTCTTGCATTTCGTCAACAACAACCTCCATTTTCAATTACTTGAAAATTCGAAGAATGCAAAAAAACAAAACCAACAAAATAACAAATAAAAAATATTCAAACTTGATATGTGATATTAGTCATTAACTGGTAAATTAAGTAAATTGGTCATGAAAAAAATACACCGATCAGGAGGACAAGTCATTAAAGCTTTAGCCATGTTGGTTTATCGATAAGCAGTTTAAAAGCTTTTGTTTATAGAAGGGAATTTAATCTCATACGAGAAACCTCTTAATATAGTTCTTCTGCTAAAACATGCGCTTTTGAAATGGTTAATAGTTCTTTAACTGAATTTGAAATAGTTCGAACTTCAGCCAAATATTCTTCTTCATAGACCGTTGTCAAATGTCTCGTTTTATTACCTGATAAATTAAGCAAATTGGTCATGAAAAAACTATGTCGATCAGGAGGACAAGTCATTAAAGCGTTACCCATGTTTAGTTCATCGATAAGCAGCATAAAAGATTTTGTTCATAGAAGGGGATTTAATCCCATACGAAAAACCTCTTAATATAGTTCTTCTGCTAAAACATGCGCTTTTGAAATTATTAGTAGTTCCTTAACTGAATTTGAAATAGTTCGAACTTTAGCCAGATATTCTTCTTCATAGACCATTGTTAAATGTCTCGTTTTCTTTCGCATTAAAGATTCTTACATCTCATGTTCGGATTTTGAAGTAGGAATTTCGGGTGTTGGAGCCCCATATGAACTATCCAGACCATGAAAATTAAAATTCCCACTTAAATCTTAGGTAATTGGTGTCTCACTTGTAGCATCCAGACCATGTTCATCACCATTCCTCTTCCTTTATCTTCGAGGGTTTAGGGATGTCTCACTTGTAGACCCATTAGCTCTATCCCTTCCATACATTTCTAATATTTTCATGTAATTTCGCACGCATTTGTTTTTCAATTCCACTGCTTCAGGTTGATCCTAGTATGAATAATTATATTAATATTTGAACAATATAAAAAATGGCAAACTTATGATAAAGTAAGAGATTTATCTTTATTAGTTGCTCCCAAACTTCATCTTTTGCTTTGAATCGTTCAGTTGTTGGATTCCATGTAAAACCACTCATTCCATGTTTGAAAACATATAAACAACATATGCAGTTGTATATATGCTCTTTATTAATGTCTAAATTTGAAAATGCATTCCTCACTTCTTCACGCACACAATCAATAGCGTGTGATGTGAATGTTCCACCCGATCTACGACTACACAAATGCTGATTTTAGAACGAGTATACTAGGACATCATCCATATGATCTGACTAGTGGATCATTTTACTTCCTGTGTCTGCATTTCTGTCCCTCTTAACCATTGTCGAAAACACATATGAAAATACCAAATATAATTATATACAAAAAAAATATAATATGTTTACAACAAAATAAATTCTAAATTGTAGCATTCAATTAAAATATTTAAGTTATACAGACATCATAAGTCATACAAATATCATACACCATACAAATATCATAAATTACACAAAATATAATCAACCCACATATCAGCTGTTATTGCATCTCTAATTATTTCGCCTTTTTTTATTTCTTCAGTACTGTCCCTAAAATTACAAATACTTCGTTCGTCTAGATAGACATTTCGGAGTTCTTCATCAACCTCTCGAAGAAGTTCATCAGTTTGATCCTCTCCCCTTAAATAATTATACAAAATACAACAAGCAAATATGATGGTATTAACAGTCTTAATCTGATAATGAGGTTCAGTCGATATTTGGATAATTGGAAAAAATTTCTTTAGAACTCCAAAGGCACGTTCAATTGCATTACATAAGAAAATATGTCATAGATTAAATAGTTCACAAACATTGTGCGGTGGATTCATAGAGTATTCACTTAAATGGTAGCGTTTTCCTCTATGTGGTGTAATTAGTACACTACGCAACATGAACCCAGCATCGACAGGGTAAAACTTACCTATAAGCAATAAATAAATTAAGTTATAACATTTTTCTTCAAAAGTATATATTACATATCGAAATTAAATATATTTTAATTACTTTCAGGAATTATTAGAGGATCATCAACTCTATTTAATGCATCTTTTATTATTCTTGAATCTGATGTGGTCCCCTCCCACCCAGCTAAGACGTGTGAAAATTTCAAATCAAATGTACAAGTTGCTAACAGGTTTTGGGTGGGAAAATCTTTTCTCCCGCGAAACCGTAGAGCATCTTTTCTGGACTCTTTAACATGTATATGTGCTCCGTCAATCACACCAATACAATCTTAATATTAATTATTAACTAATTAATTAAATATGCACTCGTGTTAAAATAATTAATTAAACGTATATAACTTATATATATACCTTAAAAAATTGAAAGAATTTGGGATTGTTGGCTATTTCCGGAGGGACTAGTGATCAATTTGGCTTATTAATAAATTTATCGGTCATATGTACTATACATCGTAACACATTGTGAAAATAACGACTTGTCGTCTCTCTGGATCGTTGAAAAACCCAAGATATGACTCGATTTTCTCATTGTGTCCTAATAGATAAAATGTCTTAAGTACTTATTCCTCTACAGTTGCACGAACGGTATGCCTGAGTCCACCATCTATAACCAGTAAAAGACATAAATTCATAAAAGATGAAGCTTTCATCCTAATTATATGACGACAAAAATCACTTGATAACAAATTTTGCATAAGCTTATCTCGAGCTTTCTCTCCCTCTAGTCTTAATTCATGAGTGAGCCTATAA